GGGGGTCAGTGATCCATTGCAAGAAGTGTGGCGGTGAAGGCCACAATGCACGAACATGTACAGCTCCTACTGTTGTACCACCACCAGTATGTACTTTTCCTTTTGCTCAATTGTGTTTCTTAGTTGCTACCACGTGTTTGCTTTTTGGACTGAATACATGAGTTTTTTTTAGTTTGTTAGGCTAATAACAATGGAGGTAGAGGTAGAGGAAAGCGACCAAGAACAGTAGCACCAAATCCAGGAAACACAGAACCTACAACTCGGAAAAGTAGAGTCGGTCATTGCTCCAAGTGTGGTTCGAGTACTCACAATGCAAGAACGTGTTCTCTAAATCGAGAAGTTGGTATTAAAGTAAGTTGGTATAATTAGACATTGTACAGATTGATTCTAGACATGCACGGGTAAAAATTGATTATAATTACCTTGATTGCCAATGTACTGGTAGGCTATTCGGCTCAATGTTGGTGACTGGAGGACTATTGAACGTGAGATGTGGGTTGCCACAAGAGGAGTTGGAGTTTATGTATCTGAGGAAACTGGGAACCAATACGTCATAGTAAGTATTCTTGTATACCAATGTTATGATAAATATTCCTCCATTTCGTGCAACTGTCTAATGAATGAAAGCACAATATTGCAGCAGAATGGCGCGAGGGGACGTGCGGTTGGAGGAACTCAACATGATGAGGTCCAGCTGCGTGGAAGCTAGGGATGGCAACAAAACCCGAACCCACGGTACCCACCCGACCCAACCCTGTCAACACGGGTAAAACCCGTGTTGACAGGTTTTGAGCCGGGTTGGGTTGGGTTGGGGTTTAGGTAAAACCGCCCCATGGGTACCCGCCCACACCCATATAATTAATTTTTCTGGTATATTTAATATTCTAAACAACTAATCTTCTTTATGTTTGTGGAGACATGTCTAATTTTTTCTGTCTAATTGTGTAGAATGAAGTTGATATTATCGAGTAGAGAGTGAAGAAGCTTAATTGACAAGGAGGAAATAGCTTTCAATTAATCATGTTGTTTATGGATAATTTGTGATTTGCTTCAATTTTCTTGAGTTTTCTATATTGGTGTTGAACAATTTGTATGGTTAATTTCTGATTTGCTTGAATTTTCTAGAATGGTATTTTTATATATGGATAATTTGTATTGAGAGATTGATATTTGAATTTTATTTTGATAGGAATTTGTTATTGTAAATTTTTTATGAAAAAAACCCATAGGTACCCATGAACCCGCGGATACCTAGCGGGTTGGGTTGGGTTTAAGTTTTTCAAACCCAATGAGTTTTACCCCGGGTTTTTTTCATGGATAAACCCATGGGTTTGAGTTTGGATTTGACAAAACCCGACCCAACCCGACCCATTGCCATCCCTAGTGGAAGCCAACCCCCACCAACACAACCTTAGACGTGGGATGGCATGAGTCAACTATTTTGGCCAATCTGCTATGGGTGGAGTAGACATTTTGAGAAGTTCTGCCAATGATGTTAGGGACAAGTAGTCATTTTGAGAAGTTGCCTCATGTAATGGCCTTGTATGTTAGGCTCAAGCATGTAATGAATTCTAATTTGTTCATGGATGCTACTTAGCAACAGGGTCTTACACATAAGAAACTACTACTAATTACGCTGATAATGTTAACAACTATTTCAAATCATCTCCTACAACACTACAATGTCAGATTACAAACCTTCTACATAAGAAAGTGGTGCCACAGAAGAACAACCAATAACAAATTCAGTACGCCAATAACTGTGAACTGATATCGAATTACATGGATATCATGATTAACCCTCCTTCCTTCAGCAAGCATAATCTCATGTGCCTTCATCCATCTAGATAGCTCCTGAGACAGAATTTTCTTCTCCTTCTTCCTCCTCTTGAACAACTACTTTCAGAGTTTTCTTGCTTATCTTCATCCACATTCCTTCGCACCCACCTAAAAAATGCGACAATTCTTCTTCTCGTCCTGCACCATAACAACAATAAACTTACGACTCTAGCTCAAAGACGAGTACCACACAAATGCATAAATCATATCTTCGCCACCTTACCTTCCAAAAAGGACATCCATAGAGTTGCCTGCCTAGGTTCAACTATATGCCAGATGTATTGACCACACATGGCTTATTACACCAACAGAGTATCGCGCCTCGGTTCTGGGTGCTAGCCAAACTTGAGGAAGTTGCTCGCTTAAACATGCCTGCAGCTCGCTTGAAGTTTTGGGCAGGAGAAATTGCGGAATTTGGGGGTTGCGAATCGGAAGAGTGTGGGATTTGGGGGAATGGGGAGCAGGAAATGCCGAATAGATCAAAAAGTGGAAGAGAATTAATGGGGAATGAAGAGCAATAATCGACGAATCAATCAGAAGGGGGAAGAGGATTCGTGGAGAGTGGAAGTTTGGGGAAGAACCCTAATTCCGAAATCGGAAGGGGAAGAGGATTCGTGTGGAGAGGAAATTTGGGGACAAACCCTAATTTCGAAATCGGGTCAATGTTGGGGAAGAAGCTAAGTGCAAAGCATATGGGAATATAGGGTAAATTTTTTTATACTTTTTAATTTAAAAAATAATTTAATATTTGACGTGTCAATAGTTGATTATTTGGCGCTGACGTGTTCGCTTAGTTGGCGCATAATCAGCAAACCGTCATCAGCATCCACGCTCGCATTTCATAGAGACTTTCATTAGATTGATACATAGCTGCTAGGGATGTTCAAATGGTTACCATGGTTATAACCAAACCAAATAAAGCTAAATTCCATTAACCATGAAATACAATATCCTAACCAAACCGTCCAAACTAATACAACAACCAAATTAACCAAACTAAAGTTTAATCGGTTTGGTTAATTGGTTAACCAGATTAACCAATATAAAATCACATTATCATTGACGATGAAAATTTTCCGGTTAATGCAACAATTCATAATTTATATAATGAATAAAATATAACAATAAACACGTAGTTATAGTTGACCCTTAACAAAAATACATGCAACTAAGACAATTATCTTACGATTAGTATAGAAGTATTCACCTAACAAAAATTTATGACAATGGTATGGGTTAATGAATTGTTGTGTTTGTGTAAATTGACTTAGTCTCTTAGCAATTATCATAGGCTGAAAATGGCCTTCCTTTCAAGTTTTCATCCATCATAATGTATGAAATTTATCTAAATTAGGCGTCCATATGTTGTGGTCTTCATTTTACATATACAAATATACACTATATGAGCAATATTGAGCTTTATATTTTATGAGTCTAAAAGGGATGAACGTTAACTCTTGAGTGGTTATGCAAAGTATTAAGTATGTGTATATAATATATGTTAGATATATGACTAATTACTTAACTGGTTAATTTGGTTTGACTGGTTAGGAGTGTCTGAAACCAAACCAAACCACCTAAACCAAACAAGCTAAAAACTTTAACCAAACCAAATCAATTAACCAAATTAACCAAACCAAATTATCCAAATAGTACTGGTTAAAACGGTTACCATGGTAACCAAACCGTTTGAACACCCCTAATAGCTGCACAGGGGCGGAGGTAGCTCAGTGGCCGGGGGGGCCTGGGAATTTATAAATACAACTATGTATGGATTGGCAGCAAGTGGTTTCCTTGCAGACTGGCGGAAGGTAACTGAGTCTGGTAAATTGTGAACGTGGGTTTGATCCTCTGCTCACACCACTTTTGCTATATTTATTTTTAGTTGCTTTTCCTGTCTTTCGTGGAGACATATTCTGCCAGCTTAAGTTTTGTTCACTTATCATTTCCACTGTATTTTAGTTACTTTTTCTATTTTTCACTAAAGAGATATTTTTGCCCGCTTAAATTTTACTTTCTTTAGTCTTACTGTGTCTTTATTCATAAAAAATAAAAAGTCTTACTGTGTCTTTTTTTTTTGACAAAATCTTACTTTGTCATTAAATAATATTTTGCTTAGATTCACCTAATATTTACGTTATTTGTCAATGTATATTTTGTTATGAAAATAATAAAAATTGGCTTAATTGCAAGTTTGGTCACTCGAATTGCTATAAAATTTCACGTTTGCCACTCAAAATACTTTATTCCATTTATAATCACTTAAATTAGGTTAACAGTTCAAGTTTGGTCACTGGCCGTTAGTCTCCGTTAACTTTTGCTGATGTGGCGGTCAACTCTTATAGTTGACCGTTAAATACATGACGTGGCAATTAAAAATTTTTAAAAAAAATAAAAAAAATTCCACCTCAACTATTAGAAAATAATAAAAAAAATAAAAAACTTTTCTAATTCTACACTAATTAAATGCGAGACTGCAAAAAAATAAAAAACATTGGGTACCAGAAAAGGGGGAAAGACACCCACCGATCTGGTCCGATCACCAGAGCCCTCCGGGACGCCCGTACGCAGCTTCTCGCACGAGCGACGATTCCGGCAGAAGTTGCCAACGACTCGTTGCTCCGGTGATAGCCTTCTCACCGGCCTGTTCCCTGCAGGTGTCGTTTCCGATGTCTCCGTTAGGCTGATGCGCCCATCAGCGGAAAAGTAAATGTTTTCATCCTTATATTGGTGGCGTAAAGCCTCTTCCACGTGGCTCCAAAGCTCATCGAACGAATCTTCATCACTACCGCCGTCGCACTTATTCTTCGCTGTCGGCGGCATTGGTACGTCTCTGTTCACGAGGGACGTTATAGCCTTGAGCGGCTAACGGGTGTAAAATTTCACACAAAAGTAGAAACAGAACGCAATGATTAGCTATATCTCTGCGTTTGGTTCCTTCCCTCTTATAATGAATCTCCAGTTTTGTTCGTGTATATATATGAGTAGGCCACTCTGTTTCCCTCTCCTAATCGGCTTCCGATTTTCACTTACACGAATCCCTTCATAAACCAGTTGGAACTCTGTTTTCCTTTTCCGAGTAGCAAATTTCGACTAAAGTTCAGATCTTTCAAACTTTGGTACCCAAATCCATACCAAAATCCGCAGCAATTCTTCATCGCTCACAAAAACAGAGCAATTTGCGCCAGAACAATACAAATTCCAAGTAACAAAGAACCAAAACCCACAATTACTCCCCGCGAGACATTTTTGCTAACCCCATCGCCATCCCCATCCTCACCCTCATCGTCGGACTCATCATCCGCCTTCACCTTCTTCGCCGCAGCCGCCGCTGCAGGGGATTTCTCCTTGGGGCCGAAGATAGTCGCGGGAAGCAGAACATCGTCCACTCGATATATCACCAGATGGGTATTCGTGTAAACGTTTCCCGACACCGTTGTGTTGATCACTCTGGTCGTCACGTTGACTGAATCCCCGCTCGCCGTCACGTTCAGCAAGAAACGGTCCCCTGACCCGGCGTGCGTCTTCAGGGGATTGCCCACCGTCTCGAATTGCTCCCTCGAGATGAATGTGGGAACGATGTGGAACTGCACGAGTTGCATCTTCTCCTGCCGGTTCAATGATCGGCCTGGGGTCTTCAATTTGGTGAACACGGCGTCGCTGGGGCCGAAGATGGTGAGGTCGTTGTTGGTGTCGCCGAGCTGGGAGTTGAGGTTGGAGTCCATCTGTGTGGAAGGGTAGTTAGCCATGGAGATTCAGTACCAAATTACTTTACCTTCTTCCCTTAACTGATTAGAGTTGTTGTTGGCATCTTTGACAATTGGAGTCGTCACTTTCGTCCAAAAACAGAGCAACCCGAGCCGAGGTTAGATTAGAAAAGGTTTTTTTTTTATTTTCTAATAGTTGAGGTGGAAATTTTATTTTTTATTTATTTTTTAAATTTTTAATTGCCACGTCATGCATTTAATGGTCAACTATAAGAGTTGACCGCCACATCAGCAAAACTTAACGGAGACTAACGGCCAGTGACCAAACTTGGACTGTTAACCTAATTTAATTGACTATAAATGGAATAAATTAATTTGAGTGACAAACGTGAAATTTTGTAGCAATTCGAATGACCAAACTTGCAATTAAGCCAATAAAAATTAGTTACAAAATGTGTTCTAAATTTATTGGCTCAGTACACGAAATATTTGAAACAGTTACATTCAACATGATTTTACCGATCTATCCATTGAAGCAAGAAATATGAGCAGTTTTTCGATTTTGACCCCCCAAAATGAGAATCCTAACTTCGCCCCTATAGCTGCATGCACTTTACATCAATAAAATTGAATTTGCGATTGCAAACTAAACTTCATGTCACTTGCAATTAGCAAAGGAAAACAGATGTGAATGCCCTGATAGGCACATGACGAGATAAATGAAAATAATCTATGGTAATAGTAAACTGGTGGTATACAAAATAATACGAATTCTTATAAAATGAATATTAATATTAGTTATTTATAATATCAAATCATTACTTAGGCATTTTGCACACATATGATTTAAGTCTTGCAAAATTTTATGATTTGTAACCTTTAGCTAATATATTAATAATTTTAACATAATTTACAACTGTAAATTCAATGATCCATATTTGCTCAAAAACATGACACTATTAAATTTGCAATGAGGCAATTGAAATGACCTCCCCATACAAATATAATTTCCTCAAAATAGAACAATCCAAAATTCTCCTGACCCAATGTTTCATCCCGTTTTGTATAGTCAAAGGTGATAATATTGCCCAATTATGTAAGACAATTTGCAAAATCTCATCGTCAAATTACTCCATCCTAACCACCCATGATTCACCTTAGTGATTCCACTTTGAATAATAGTGTATCATGTTGCTTGGGAAAACTCATTCTCTTTTAATTGATTTGTTTCTATCTATTTAGTATTTTACAAAATCATATAATTAATATCTTGCACATGTTGATGTATATTTTACTTAGGTACAAAATAAAAAATCATTTACGGAATAAATAGCACAACAAAATCTCATTAACGTTGAGACTCCTATCACTATGACTCTGGTGGTTTGGGGAAGACCGTGACTGCATTTATGTCACCTTGTTACATTACCGCTTGTCGTGCTATACTTTGTATGTTGGATTATCATTGCCCCGGCCTCGTTGTTCTCTATTGACCGTACTATTAGAGTCATATGACGCTGATGCGCTTTTTCCTTTTCTTTCTGTAGCTTTTACGTAGCATTACAGCTAAAGCAAATACGAGGTCCTGGGGTTCTGGATGGGATTATGCTTGCCTTTGGCTGGTTTCCTTGGTTCCTTCAAGAATGCATAAGTTTTTTCTGCCTTATTATGACTTTGCGTCAGGATACCCTTTTGAGTTATATAATATTTTAAAACTGTTGGTATTATTGGGAATTCAATGAGATAATTCTTTTTACAGTTGACTGTAACAATAGTCAGTTCTTAAGTACTGGACATTCGGCGATTCATCTTCCTCGAGCTTGCCCATGCTGCGTGGCTTAGCCGCCTACTTTTGGACATCTCCAAGAAAGGGTGGTATTTAGATTCAAAGCGAAAGAGAAGGGTATCTAGTAGAGTCATCCAGGTGGATCGATTTCCCAACCGTGATGGTCACTTTCTCAAGCTATCGAAAATCACAGAGAAGGAAAGAGTTTATTATATTATCATTCCGTTACATTCATCTAGTTGGGAAGATCTGATCTTCGGTCTTCAGGATGTTAGGTGTACCACAGCCGTGAGGAGACGAGATATCGGTAGTAACTCCTGGGTATCACAAGGAAAGTCTTACCCTCTAGTTGTCAAATCTAACTTCCCCATGGAGCAATGATATTGTAGATTAAAAAACTATGGCTCTACCAAATTCATTGAAGTTGGGGAGGAAGGTGTTGACGATAGACTTCGTTTTCTAGACAGATGCCTAATGTTGGAGTTCTTTGACAATCAAAACAGAGGACTGCCAGTCAGCTTGAATGGGGACTTCGAACAGTGGGCAAGGCGGAATTAGGATCTGTCCATGGACTTTTACTTCACAAAAAGATCATGTGATTTTTGGATGTTGGTTTGCCCAACCCTGGCTGATGCAATCAAGGTGCAAGAGATTGATTTCTCAAATTTTAGAAGATGGAACGTCATTGTTTGTTACTGAAGGAACATGTTGTCATAATTTTTGCTCCACCTAGTGGTCTAATGTGGATTTTGGTCTTCGGTATTCCTCTACACCTTAGATCAGTAGCTGTTTTAAAGAAGATCGGGGAGCTTTGCAGTGAATTCTTTGACTACAACAGGGGTGATTGGTCTGATCCTTGTGTTCTTATTAAAGTTCGTCTAAAGCTTGACTTCCCAAATTAAGTCGCAATCCTGTTTGGAACTTCTCTCTTCACGATCAAGATTTTTGTATCGTCGAATGTTGAGTATCCGATGGCTGATCTAACTCCTTTTGGATGAGAAGCTGAATCCTCAGGTGGCGCAAAAACGGGTGGATCCCCTTGACCTGCAGGTCCTGAAAGTTCAGGGTTGCTTTCCCAAGATGCACATGAGCTCAGCTACCAATCTCGAAAACTCGAATAGTCGCAAGCTATCTCCTAGGGTTTCGCAGAAAATTTATAGAGTCAGCTTCCAGAACTGCTCAGGCACCCAGAAAGCTTGGGTTCCCAAGTTTGGACATGCTCTAAGACCTAACCTTTTGACCTGGAACTCAGTGGACCCAAATTCAGGCCCAAACCCCCCCCCCCCCCCCACCATATTCCCTCAGAGCCGACCATCACCTTTGAACCACCCCCAACCTCGCTGGTCCTCGCTACTTCCTCCAAAAAAATTCTACCTGAGGCCCCTCCCCTTCCCAACCCCCTTACGGTTCTTAATCATCTTTCGGAGTATCATATCTCTATCATTCTCGATTCGCCATTTTCATTCCTATCTTCTTCTATCCCACCGATAATGACCATCTCCTTTCTTTCCTTCCCCTTCCGACCTCCTTCTATCATTTGTCTTCCTCGCAACCTCTTAACACTATCGCCTTTCCCCCTTCCTGTTACCCATCCACCCATTGATTCCATCCATGTATCTCCAAATCTTGATCGTCCGACCAGTCCTCTATCCCTTAGCGAATCTACTGATCCTGGCTCCTACTTCCAAGATAGCCCTGCAATTAATGAGTTCTTTGATACACCCTACTCTCCTATACCCCCAAAGATTCAGATCATCTTGCATCCACCATTTACAATCCAATCACCCAGGAGTATATTGCAGCGTGGCATGCTCGACAAGATCTCTCAGGGTTGGTTAATCGGAGCCTTGTTCTGTAGGTTACTCAATCTTCAACTTAGTAATTCAAGTGTTTTGGCAGAACAGAAGATTGCGGAAATAGCTATAGAAATAAATGGAAAAAGGCGCAGAGAAGGCATGTCGAAGCTGGAAATGGAAAAACATAGACTAAGTTTTATTGAGTGCCACTCCCCTCCACCTAGATCGCGGAAAAGGCCTACTTCCACTAGTGAGTTCGAATGCACCAACAAATCTTGGGGGAGTGGAGCTCCCAGAGGTATTAGAAATGCCAAGGGCCAACCTAATTCATGATGCATTCTGTCATAGCTTTGAATGTTAGGGGTCTGGTGAACCCCGACAAAGAGCAAAGATTAAAAGGATCTTGAGAAGGTGGAGACCTACAATCGTCGGTCTGACAAAGACAAAGTGGAAATCTTGTGATTAGCGGCTAATCTCCTTCATTAGCGGCAGCAGAGCAACAAATTGGACTGCCAAGGATTCAACTGCGACAAGTGGAGGAATTGTGATTTACTGGGATAACAGGTTGTATAAACACTCTCAGTCTGGGAATGGAGGTTTTCACTTGCAGTCAGACTTAGAATTATTGAGAGTGATGAAGTCTTCTCCTTTTTAGTTGTATGCGATCCACAAGAGAAGGATGAGAAGCTTGAATTTTTTAGGGAGCTGGAATTTGTCTGTCAAATCTATTTGGCAGCGCTTTGCATTATAGGCGATTTTAATCTTGTTCGATCAATCGACGACTTTATTGGAAACCCCCAAAGTTTAGAGCTTATGGAAGAATTCAATGGCTTTATTGGGCTATATAATCTTGTGGAACTCCCACTGCAAGGGTCGAGGTTCACGTGGTGCAAGGGAGGATCAGATAGATCCTTTTTCCAGTATCGATAAGGCCTTGATCACTGGTTCTTTTGAGGAATTGGTCTCTCCTGAGGCCCTTGTTTCCCTTGAAAGAGTGGAATCCGATCATAACCCAGTTTTGTTGCAATGGGGTATAAGAGAAGAGTTTCGCCACCCATGGAGGTTCGAGAACATGTGGCTCACGGAGGAATCTTCCATCTTGCGCTTGGTGGGATGGTGGAGTGGTCCTGCCAGCGGGACTAGCCATCTTGTTTGGTTCAAACAAAAGGACAGGCAAGCCAAATTATTGATTAAGTAGTGGAATCAGGAATGTTTTGATAGAGTAGAAAATAGGATCTCAGACCTGATGTCTAAGATCAAAAGCATTGATAATGTCGAGGAAGCAGGTGGGGAACTAAGTGAAATACAGGTAACTGAAAGAGCCCTCCTGAAGTGTGACCTGGAAAAAGTGTCGTTAATGGAAGAGATCTCCTGGAGACAGAGGTCCCGGGAGCTATGGCTCAAAGCAGGAGATAAGAACACCCTCTTTTTCACATAGTGGCCAAACACAATCGGTGGAG